AGAAGCAGCTTGGAACTGAGGAGAAATTTCTTGACAGAACAATTAATCAGTGTAACAGCTTCCCTCCAGAAGTTGTGAATGCCCCAACACTGGAAGTTTTTAAGCAGATGTTGGATAGCCATTTGTCTGAAACAATATAGGGTTTCCTGCCTAGGTAGGGGATTGGACTAGAAGACCTCCAAGGTTCCTTCCAACTCTGCTATTGTATTAGATATTTCCTTTATTTACCTGAGTCCTTTATTTGGTTTACTATTTCTTGCTTCCTTTCTACGCTTTGCATAAGGTTGCTTAACCTGGAATGGATAAATAGCATAATGGATATGTATATATGTAGAATCAGTAGAATTAAACTTTGGCTGGATTTTGCCCATACAGTTTTACAGTCACAAAGATTCTGAGTCATATGTTTGTTTTTAAGTATCACATTTTCTTCCACGTCCTTTTCCACCAAGTAGAACAGCTTAATAGAAAGTAATGGATTTTTAAAATATATATATATATATAACGGATGCCTTTCTGGAACATTTTATGCAATAAAAATAATTTGAGCATTTGAGCAGCTTGAGCATTAAAATTGTTACTTACTGATTTTGAAACAGCTACCAAAGAGGAAGAAAAAAAAATCCTATTTTTTTTTCTCCACATATTTCAGGGTGTAAGTTGCAAAGTCCATTTTTGGAAATAAACAGTATAGTTGTCAACACATTTGCTTGGGGAAAAAAAAGTTTTGAAAATATCACAGGAATCTACTTTTAAAGTAAGCTTGCTTAGCAGATCAAAACCTATAATTCTGATGAATTTGGGGTTTAATTAGAGAAAGTATTTCTACCTACAGGTTCTTTTCTGCATGTCTGTCTCTTTGTCTTCTACTGCTTTGAAAGGTGTGTGGGTGAGGAAATATTTTCTTTTGTAAAGGCAACTCTCAATTTAGTACTTAATATTATTCCTATTTATTAGTTATTATTGCTGTTCTTTAGGAAAGGATTGCGTGTAACTGCGTGATCTTTCAGCCACCATCTCTATTAAACAAGCTGTGCAGCTTGTGAGAGATCAGGACAGGTAGAATGCACAGCAGGCGTCTGATTTGAGCCAGTTACTCATTTGCTGAGTGTTTGTGTTTATGCAAAGGGGCCTCTTCCTGCATATTTAATCTAGAGTAAGGCAGTGGCTTTTGTTGTGTTTAGACCACATACCTTCACTTCTTCCTTACACTGCAGCCAACGTTGAAGCGGAGAAAGTCTGGGTAGTTAGAAGTGTGCCTATGGTGTTTCAGGATTCTCAACTTTTCTCACTTGGTTGGGAATTACTGCTACAGTTCAAAGCTTCTTCATTAATGGGTAAGTGTATACTGTCAAATGCCACTTCTTGTCCACTTCTTAACTAACTGTTCATCATTATTTCTTAATTCAGGTTTTAAAAGAGCCTTAGTTTTAAAGAGTTAGTTGCAGCCGTTCAGATTGCAGACTTAGCTCTTCTGTGTTCTTCCCTTGCACAGAAAAATAGCAAAGCATAACATGGCTTTTTTGGAAACTGTTAAAGAACATATTTAGCTTGCTTTTTTTCCTGATATGTAAGTTGTTTGGATGATTTTTTGTTTCCTGAAAACTTTTAAAATAGTATACAACATAAGTTCTCGTTCTCTCTCGTTCTCTCTCTCTCTCTTTCTCTTCCCCCCCCTCCTCAATTTCTGTGTGGGAAATTACAGAAGGAATCTCATTTTTGTATTCTCAGCTAGACTCCTCAATTTTTAGTAAGGATTTGTTTTATGTGCAGTTTGTAATTTTTTTTCTTTTTTGCTGATATTAATAGCACACTAGAGAAGTTAACTCTGATGCAAGCAGTAACAGAGCTACAGCGTAGGAAACCTGTTTATACAGGGGACAACAGGGGGGTGGAGGAAGATGACATCTCTGTTGCTTCTTCATAAGGGGCAAAATCTGCATAATGGCATCCTACTTTTAACTGTTTACAAAAGCCAATTTAAAGATCGCTTGCTGTTGCTTTTTAATCAAGACAAAATTGCTGCAGCATGTTATTTTATCACTTGTGCGACCAGACCATTTCTAACTGAATCTGGTTCAGAAAAGAATAAAAAAGGAATGGGGAGAAAACATATGATTGAAATGTCTGAGAGGAACCATGCCATCGTATTCATGTTACCTGGAAACTTTCTTTTAAGACTCAAAGGAAGATTATGTGTTCCTGGTGTTGTTTTTAATGAGAAAATGAAAAATAGCTAATCTTTAGAACCTTGAATGGCAATATATTCTAGGTGTAGTGAACATAGAGATATTACTCTTTGGATCAGAAATAGGTGTTTAGGTTACCAATTAACTATTTCCTTCATCTGAGTGACTCTTCTCAAACAGAAGAGTGTGCTGTTCTACCACATGTTGCAAGTATAAGGATCTGAATAAAATTGCATCAGTGTTATTAAAATGTGTAAAGACTTGCTGGGTTTTTCTTTTTTTTAGTGCAGAATAACACACAAACTCAGGGACATTTTATTAACAATAAGATTCCTAAGTTTTTTTTAATAGCAACATTGTAAATAGCTTATCTAGTTGTAAATGTATTACTTTTATAGTCTCTTTATGAGGAAAAAGCACCTCAGTCAAAGCGCCTTATGTGATTAGCGCTATTGTATTCTTAAATTTTGATTGATAGAGATAATAGTTTTCACTTAAAAATACAGACAGGTACTTTAACTTTCCATGACAATAGCTATTTGCATTTCTTTTATCTTTTTGTTTAACATTTGTGGGGGTTGGGACAGATTTGATTATTAACTCTTATTGCACACTGTGGTAAATGCTAAAACAAAGCTTTTGTTACGATTTCAAAGGTACAAGAGCAAATATTGTTTTTATTGCTTCGGTGTTTAAAGGCAGTAAAGGGATACCTCAAAGATAGTTTCACATGACCACAGCCAAGGTTATTGCTTTGCGGGAAGGTAAGAGAATAATCTGCCAATTCTGAAAAAAAATAAAAAATCCTAGGCTTCTACGTTATGGGTCGCCTGGAAGCAGAAGCAAATTTGCCAGAAAGACAGGAATACTAGAAAGTTCTTCCTTGTGTAACGTCCCTCTTCCTCCTTAACATCAAGAGTGAAACTGTTAAATTCACTGGAATTTAAAAGTGGCTGGAAGAGAGGACTGTACAGCTTTATGCAATAAAATATTCATGCTATGGTATTAGACATATTGGTAGAACAATAAAATGTATATTGTGTCAAAACCTGAGAACAAACTGGAATTTTAATATAAGAAAGGAATGTATTGGATATGTCAGCAAATGTATTTATTATATCAGATATCACATACACTGTAAAGCTGAAACCTAAAAGCTTATATCATACAAGTTAAATCGAACCTTTACGGAGTAAATTAGAAGTTTTTTCCCCCTCTTGTTTAAAACTTGTTTTAATTTTAATAGAATCGTTAATGGAATAATTCTAACACAATTGCTATGGGGTTGAAGATGGTATTAATGGCTAGATAGTACAAGAGAAGGAAATGTTTAAGATTTATTACTTGATTTCCTAAGAACTGTCAGATAGGTGTTTAGCATATCTTTTGATTGCATCGTTGATAACTTTTAGAGAATATATTGTGGTCTTTCAGACTTCCACAAGGGTGAGCTCTGATGTATTATATTAAACCATCGAAAATAAAAAAAATCTACTGCGAAAAATACCTTTTAAGGGTAGTTCAGTGTGGTTGCACTATAAACAAGATTTATATTTAAGCTTTCTTTTAGCTATTATTTCTCAAATAAGATGACTTAATCCTGCTCTGAAAATTATCACTTCAGATTTGCACAAGAACAATGTAACATATTCATGTTTACTTGGAAGTAAGACAAAGTGTGACATATGGGATTTGCCTCTCATTAAAATTTTCAGGATTACAGTTTAAATTTGGATACAATCTGAAATAGATTGCTAGGAAATGAGCACAATTAAATATAAAAAAAGGACTGATGTCACTGAATTACACTATTATTGTACTCTATATAAAATAATTAAATATTTTAAATATATAATTTTATTATTTTAATACTATTGGGTTTTTTTTAACACAATCATCCAGTATTGTCACATTTTCAAAATTACAAAAACAAAGAAGGGAGCCAGTCATTTCCTTTTATCATTGACTTAAGTGAGAGAAGAATCTGATATAATTGGGCAAATGCTTCAGCATTACAATAATTTTTCATGCAGGTTACTTTACTTAAAAATGGTTCTTTTGAATTTAATTAGGAGAATCCCATTTTATTATCTTTCTATCTTTCATTTACATTTTATCGTTCCAGTATACAATGTGCTTTTATAAACTTTATGTTCCTATACATAATGTTGCTTTCAAATAATTTTAGTATATTTTATTCATTTAAATAACAATAGGTAAGTCTTGACCAAACACATTTGGGTATTGCTAATCATCTAGATTCATTTTTATTAAGAAGTAATAGTGATTTTTTTTTGTCCCAGTAGCTTTTGAAACAATTGATGAAGATATCCTTCTGAATTATTTGCTAGGATTAGTCTTTAGGGGCAATATTGTAATACTGTGATGGTTACAATTTTTGTTGATCATTTTTTTCTAGAAGAATGTTTTAGATTTTTACCACCATGACCATTGGCTTTGATGTTCTATTTTCCATTTGTCCCTTCTGTTATTTTATAATGAAAACTGTTTAGGAAAGTTCTCTAAAGCTTCCTTGTGAATAACCATGAAACAGTGATTGCTATTTGACCCTAATCCTTTCCCACCCATAAGTCCAAGGAAACTATTACTGTAATACCTTTTCATGTTGCCTCAGTAGTGGGTTGTTTTCCAGGACGTAATGCTGTTTTTGCAAGCTATGTTGAGTTTCCCAGTTTCTGAGTAAGTTTGATCTGGCAACAGTTACTCATACCTAAATCGTATCATATATAGATTACTACAGTATATAGGACCCTGCTTGTAAGAATATATGGAAGCTACAATCATTTCAAAAGGCAGCCACTATTAAGTAATGCCCAATATAAAGATTGTACTAATCATTATGTTTTGTGTTCAAATCTACTACTTTCTATTGCATTATGAAATTGTCCAATTAAAGTGTATCTAATTTGAGGAAAGCCTACTCTTCTCCCATCCCTACCCACAATGGCTTCACTTTTCAGAATATCAAAAGGTCCTTCTCCTGTAATATTCTGTGGATGGTCAACTAACTCTACTCTCTTTGATATTGGATTGAAAAGCTAAGTCACATCATGCTAACTGGCTTATTAGCTTAATCTAGTAAATAGCTGCTTTGTTTGTTTGTTGTGTTTATATACTACCAGATTCAACAGAGATGACCCTTGGTGGTTTACAATATTAAATTATAAAGACAAATAAAAACTTAAGCAGTCATAAAAGTGCTAAGTAACAATTCATTGCTTGAAGAAACTCTAATATTTTCCAGAAGACTAGCAATGAGGGTACCAATCCATTCTCAAGAAAGACATGTAGCAGAACGTGTTAAGGCAATGGGCTAGAAATTAGAAGAACATGATATCTAGTCATACCTTAGGCATGAAGCCAAGTGAGACCTTGGACAATTCTCTCTTCTCGGGGCAGGAAGAAGAACTCAGTGGCAAACCAATTATGAAATCTTGTCAAGCAATGATTTGTCCAGAGAGTCACAATGAGTCAACAGCAAATGACGATTACACTAATAAATGGGTAAATATTATTTATTTATTAGTGTAATCATTATTTGCTGATTGGTTGAACCCACATAACACATTAAGTCATAGATCATATTTAACAACTACAATGGCAAACTTTGCTAAGTTAAAAGGAAGAGATGGCAGCCAATATTAGAAAACTTTCTGTATTTCTAAAATGAAGATGGGATTATCAGGAGATGTATGCATTTAATATAGGTCAATTGCATATATTTATTTGTCTTATCTAATTAAAAAAGGTAAAACAAAGATTCGTAATAAAAAAAACTGGGATATGAAATATATATCAAGGAAAGGGTGATAATATGCAGGTAATATCATATTGCATGTATTATCAAAGGAGGCCAAGCAAGGAAATATTACCAGGCAAGTGGAAGTCAGCTTATATCGTATTAGATATATTTTCAATGAATTAATGGAACGGCCCATATTTAATTGAAACAATTGTACAGTAACCAGATACTCCCTAAATTTTATAAAAATTAAATGTTTTGCATTCACTGTATTGTACTTGAAATTAGTACTGTCTGTCAAATAACCTAGAAGACATTTTATATTTAGTCAAGATACTATTATTAGTTTTATCTTTGTGGCAAATAAACAGTTTCTAACTTAGAC